TCATATCACTGTTCAAAAATCAATTTTTCCCCCAAAAATCCCTACCAAACAAGCACATAAAGTTCTTAGTATTCATAATTTTTATCATAAAATTTTATCACAAAATAAAAAATTATTTGTATTATCAACCTTGTAATATAATGTGGAACGTGAATATGAGTTTAGACTAATAAAAAAAAATAACAAATAACATTCTTTTAAGGCTCTGTTTAATTACAACGAATTTCATGAAAAATATTACATTCGAAGAAAACGAATTTCATTTTGGTCTTTTGATTACAACGTGGAAATTGAAGCCGAATTCCAAACTATAACCACTTTCAGCTGTATTTTCTTTATTTTTTACGGAAAACGAATTCCTATAAGTTTAGTGGATTTTTATTTTTCAACTAATATAGAATTGAAATTTTTTTCCACATTTGCTCATCAAACGGACCTTAAATGAAAAATCAATTTTTTTTAAGAGGCTATTTTATAGGTGAGTGAAAATGCATATCTTATATTTTATTGGTCAATTAGTTACTTGAATGCAACCAATTTGGTATATAAAAAATTTAGTTCTAGTTAAGGCTTATAATCACCCAATTGTTCTAGATCTCGACTTCAATTTATTGAGAATGAGTCTTATAATTTATTTATTTTTATCATCATTTGAATTTGGAAGAGTTACGGTGTAAATAAGGCCCGATTTTCTTGATTTTTCCAACATTTGGTCCCTGTCTCATAAAGATTAAAATCAGATTTTTAGCAATTTTTGATAGAATTTGATGGAATATATGGTAGAAAACTCGTGGATCTTATGAAATATGTGTTTAAGATTAACTGTTAACTTTGACTTATATTTTTATCAACCTTTTTGACTATACCAAACATGCGCTAAAAGAGAAGTGCAAGATTTTATTGTATCGATCCTATATTTGTATGCATTGGTAAGTAGTGACTATTGATCGAGTTGCAATGAAAAAGAAAGAACATAACATGTTAAGCCCACGTTTGGTAACTCTAAAAAATCTAAGTCAAAGATAATAATTAATTTTAACCGCATATTTCATTAATTTTTATCAAAATCTAATTTTTAGCAAAATGAAACATGGGCTTATTAAATAAAAATAAATAAATAAAAGAACATTAGTAAAGATGTTATGAATATCAACAACATTATAATAATTTCTTCTCCAAATCCTTGCTGGAATACAAAGGATATAGTACATCTTGAGTACACAAGAAACAAGATAATTTCTATATTATACATTGCCTTAATTATCTCATACAGTGATTTTCTTTACCTTATTCAAAATGTGCTCATCACAAATTTCAATTGACCTTATACAAACAACAATAGTCTCCTCGATCTCTTAGTACAATATGTAAATTTCTCATGAATTATTGTAGTGTAGTAGTTAGAGCCTTACAAGGTTGTAATAGCTCACAAGTGACATAAATGCCTCACATGGAAAGTGGAACCAAACTATTAAATTAGTAGAGAAGGTCTTTAAAACAAGTCCTTTCGATAGTGACATATACTCTCTCTTTTCAACTACTTGAATTTATATTTTATAACTTGAATTTATACGTTATAATTTTTCAGCCGACAAAAAAATTAGCGGAACTGTCGACCGGAAAATGTTTGGCCGAAAGACCAGTTTGGAGGGGCGACATTGTAAGAGACCATGGTTCGACCATCGCTAGTGGTGACCTTGAATGATAAACTTTGTCCATTGAGGTAAGAGTTACTCTGCCAATTTTGGCCCCAATTTCTTGACATTGGTTGCCAGGCAGTTCTTGAGCCCTTGATGGACACTGCATGCACATCACCAGCACCCCCTACATTGGTAATTAGGACAAGATTGAAATATGAATGACCGTTGATGGTGAACCTAATGCCACCCCTTCTCCTGCAGGGCACCCTACACAAAACAGTTCAAGAAAAGAAAATGACCTTCATTAGGATTGACACGAGTAAAAATTGAAAGAATGCAAACTCTACACGAAGCTGATCGATCACCTTCTGTAAGCCACGGGAACAATCCCAGCTCTGTATTGCGCGATACGCAAGAAAACGGGCTGAGAGAGATCGAAGTGGTGGTTCGGGGGATCACACCAACCCCCTGGAGGGCAGAAGTTTGTGGCTGTAACAATAATGCTGCCACGAAGACACCATTGTGGATCATTCACACACACTAATTGATAACATGAACCACAACTCAATCCATTGTTGAAAAGGGCTGTACTCAATGCTGCAGTATTAGTTCCATAACCCTGACTGTACAGGTTTCCATACCCACATGCCCCACCTATAAGAATCAAGAAAGAAGTAAGACAATGTCACTGGTTATACCCTAGTTAATCCTTACTAGCGAGAGCAATGGTAATATCTAATAAAATACGAGGTCAATCTATGGTCGAGGAAATAAATGTAAAATGTGATTAGGGCTCCGCGTGAAGTGTGGGCGTGTACGTACATACCCATTGTTCCAGAAGCGTCGCCGCCTCCGTAGAAGGTGGCATGAGCATTAATCCAACCACCATAGTAGCCATATGCAGATGACACAATTGAGAAAAACCCAACTAAGAAAACTCCAATATTAGCCATTTTTTTCCTGCCATAAGTTCAGCAATGGTTAAAGAACTCAAATACCGATAACTATTAGTCGCAAAATCAAGAAAATAAAATGAGAGAGAGAGAGAGAGAGAGAGAGAGATTACCAGAAAATTATGATCTTTAACAGAGGAGTAGTGAAGAAATGAAAGAAATGTTTGATGAGAATAAATAGAGGCTTAAGGTTCCTGTGGGACTTTAATATGTAGGGCAAGCACTGAAAGCTGACATCTGACGAGTTTCATTTGTAGGTTAGGACCATAAAAGTGACAAGTAGTTTTCGGTCTGTTGAATGGAAACAATGCACGATCTAAGGATATCCATCTTATCAAAATTGCAGTCCAGCTGAGATTTGAGAGTTGTTTTCAATAAAAAAAATTTGCATGTGATGAGCCTGAAACTAGGGTAAAATGTTTTTCCCCCTTCTAAGACTATCTCCCATGCATTAAGTGAATTATAATGTATGTGGCATTAATAGAAGGATTTTTAATCAACGTGACATTGATCTAACGAATATACTCAAGTATGTGTACCTTCTATATTTCAATATTTTTTATCTGCGTGTCTTTTATTAAAAAATGGAGTGAAAGACACATAATCTACATCTACATATCGATCTAGACATTGTTCATGTATTATTATTAATTGGTACACTAGTTTGAAAAAGTCTTGTCAACTTGTATTTGAGGATTTTTTTTTTTTTTTTGTTTAATACCTTCTACTTTTTCGTATATGATATTTTTTTTACGCAATCCACAATTGCAAAATCATTCCATTAGCATCTTTATTCTATTAAATCATTAGATTTCTAAATCCTCAAAGGGTCCGCGAAATTCCTTTCAGAGCCGGTTGGATATTTTTTACAAATTGTCATTTCACTAATTCGTACTAAGGGTGTATTTGAGACACATTCTTTTGAAAGAATGTATTATTGAATAATAGATTGATGGAGAATATGTGGTTAAAAATGAAGGAAAAGTTATTGATGTGATGGAAAATATTATTTGATTGAAGAATGTGTGGTTGAAAATGAGTAGAAAAATGAAAATGAAAAAAATAACGTGTACCAAACAGAGGCTAAATAACAGATAATGAATTCCTTTCTTTTTGTCATTGAACCTTCTAAGCAAATTCGTCGTGCATGGGAGATGGAGATGTTCTAAAGTCTAAACAGTAAGAAGGAGAATGAGAAATTTGAGCTACAAAGGTTACTCCAAACGTAGTTACAATTTAACTACAATGACTGAGCGATATTCATAATAGNATAGGTTACTCCAAACGTAGTTACAATTTATCTACTATGACTGAGCGATATTCATTATAGATTTGAAAACCTACATTTGCTGCTATGCACCAGTAATGTCAAAATGGGTCGGGTTTTCCAAGTTCAGGATGACCCACCCTATTAAATAGAGTTGTTGAGCTCCTCACTTTCTTCATAAATTCTAATACCATTTTTTTTATTTTTCAAAGAAATCTCTCTCTTCGGTTATACTCACTTATTCCTCTTACACGTACAAAATTTAACTCCCAAGAGTTAATGTTATCTGTACTTACTATAAGAAAGCAACTCATTTGAGCTCACCGTCTCTAAATATGAATGTTCGTTTGAGCTTAATGGACATTACGCTGTATTAAGATTTCGACTTCCCATTTTAAAAAGTGGACCTTGTTAAGTGAATATTCCAACAAACAACGAATACATATTGTTTTGAAATCCTATGAAACGTTGCCTAAGACATCGAGATTGAACAATGTGTCTAGTCAAGATCACATTAAACAACCGAACATTGCAATAGTTGAAGTAATGCATTTTCAAACTCATCATTTAATTCAAAATCTTCTTAACAATCTAACTGAAAGTGAAACTTAATATTAGTCATAGAATTTTGCATCAACAATCAATAATTCAAAAGTAATTGATTAATCCTGGTTTGTAATTCATGTGTCAATTTCAAAGTAAATGAGCTGTAATAAGGTGTTGTGTAATAAGTAGATGGGGTCTGAAGGAGACAAAAGGGACTGGCTTCTAAATTCATAGTGCACTGGATTACATTTCAAAGGGTTCAAACATGTGTCTCCATTGTCTCAGGATTTTTTGCACATATTTATGATCATTATTTTCTTTTGAACCACCCCATCTAAACCCGAACGTCGCATTTTTTTTACCGGGTTTGTAAAGAGGCAGTAAACGATCATTTCGGGGATTTTGTTTTTCATCGAGAAACTTGACGGCGATAGAAAATAAATTCGAAGAATGGCCATGTAAGTGGTGACTATAACTATCGAGTGATTGAAATGAGTATGAGTCAATTTGGTGTTGAGTAGTCGTTAAAACATTATGAGATAATTAAGGAAAATTTGTCAAGATTGTCGTGGAAAGAACAAGTGCAATACAGGTTGGTGTGCACTCTCGAATGTGAAAGCACTAGCATGTGTCACCATTGACATATAGCACTAAGAAAGAAAACGAATGTACAGAATAATTCCGGTTTTAACGGAGATGATTTAGTTTGAAAATCCCATTTGGTCAAGTTTTGAAGCGCACATTGGAAATTTGTATTAGAAATTTAGAATTAGTTTTTTTAATTTAGGAGTGAGCAGCACAGGACTCAATTGCGTTTTTACATGCAATCAAACACTTCCATAGACAACGATCGAACCAAATTAGATCAGAATTCGGACATGATTGGTACAAGAGCTTTCAAATGAAGCATAACAAGGATTGTCATAAAAGATTTTTCAAAGATATTGTGTACTTCAATGTTTTCTTGATGTTAAGTTAGAAATAACAGCCAAATTTCACTTCAAGGTGGTTAGGAAAGGGGTATCAATAATTTATTTTACAAAAGGGTATAAATCCTTGAATTAAAAGAGTGTAAAATTGGATCCAAACACAGCACTATAAGAAAGTGTAACACTTTTAAAAATGACAACTACTTTAAGAACTTGTTTGGGAGGGATTAAAATCAGATTAAAATTGAAAATATAGCCGTTGGAGTTGAGTTTTATTAGACGAGTGTGACCCAATAACAGCTATATTTTCAATTTTAATTAGATTTTAATCATTCCCAAACAAGCCCTAAGTCCATGTTTGGTCTTTAATTTTTAAAAATTATTTTTAACCATACATTTTATACAACTTGTAACGATTATCAACTTTTCAACCATATGTTTCATCAATTTTTATTAAAATCTATTAAAAATATAATTTTAATTGCATCAAACTGGGGCTACACTGACTCAAATGTCACTCTCACTCCAATCACATGTTTTGCTGTCAACCATTCTAATTTTATGGCTCGTTTTGGTAACTCTTACATTGGCATCTTGTGATAATCAAGTGAGTTCGGTGAAACTTCTAAATTTCGGTTCAATAGTGAAAACATTATCTTGTAGCCAAACATGCCAATTTCAATTTATAAACTGTCATGTTCTTTACAATTGTTGACCCCAAAAAATGTTG